AAACAAGAAACAACTATATCATATATAAGGGTGGAGGATGAATTCAAGAGTCTCGCAGCCAGAGGAAAGAAGCAGATCTGAAGTCCGGTGGTCCGGCAGCTGATACTTCTGCATCTCTTTGGTGGGTTTTCTCTTTTTAAATCCTTTGAGCTCTTCGCAGGCACCTCTTGTCACCAATATCTCTGATGCTCAGGAGGTGAGAACCAATGACGTTCTGGTTTAATCCCCCACTGCAGAGCCCTCCTGTCCTGGGCCCTGAACATGTCATGTTTGGATGTTTTCTATTGCTCCTCTGTTAAACGTTTACAAGAACTTCTTAGGTTTTCTGAGCTTTCTTCACCAGGATGGAGATGTGGAGTGTGAGGACCACGTCAGGTTGTTTGTGATGTCGTTAACTTGCTCCTCCTCAGCTCCAGTGATGCAGACAGATGTGTGCGTCTTCGCCTCCTTTTGTTTTCTAAAATAAACAATCAGCTGCTTGTTTTTCCTGATGAGCAGCAGGTTGTTCTCTGAGCTGCACTCTGACAGGTTGTTGATCTCCTCTCTATATGAAGTCTCATTGTTGTTTGTAATCCGCTCATTAAGGAAACACAAGTAGAACCAGCGTGGCGTTCACTGACCTGTCGACCCCCCCCAGCAGAGAGCAGAGGTCTGCACTGAGAACAGCAGGCAGCATGTCGTAGCGCCGGTCGGCCAGGTAGTACGTTGTAGACCTTCAGAGACACAGAAGAGGAAGAAGAGGAGTCTTCTTCACTTTGCCACATGGATGATTGCAATCAACTGCAAACAGGAAACACTTTATGGGCGTTTGCTCTGTAATGTAATTTGTGATCAGACCTTGAGATGAGGATGCTTTTCTTTTAAATTTCATTTATTTGTTATTTTTGTTTCATTTCTTATATTCTGTAAACTTTTATAGTTTTTATTCTGAGTGCAGTTATTCGCTTGCTTTTATTCTGTGTTTACCTGTTAATCAACACAAAATGAAAGTTCTTTGTACTAACTATGATAGATAGATACTTATGGTTTAAATCTAAAATAACCAGCCTTTTTAGTTTCATTAACTTCCCTTCAGGAGCTTCTTTTTTGGTAATTTTTACACTCGAATTTTGTTGAGTCAGCATTAGCAACGGCTCGTGAAGTATTTTCCCAACTCTAAATCAAGACATGTTTAATTTAATGATACACTAAATGTTCTTTAACTTAGAAACATTTGTGTTCTTTTACTGGTTTTATTCTGTGTGCGTTTGTTTGTTTTCATCGTGTGTTTCTTGTGTAATCTTTAAAGCACTTTGGGTATTAATGTTTTATATTAAAGTGTCTTTCCATCAGCGCCTGGAATTCATTCTTAGTGAATTCCTGACTGACTGATTTTCTCCTTGAAAAGTGCAAAAAGACCAAAGTTTCAACAACAATGTGTCTTCATCTTTTTCATATTCACCTCTCGATGTTCAGAAGTTGCTAGATTGAATCCCTTGACGTGCTGCTCACTGTGTTCTCTGTTTGTGACGACGGCTGCTTCTTGATTCTGCTAAATGACAGAAGAGCTCCTGCAGCTTTCTGGCCTCTCAACTCTTCTCCGTCTCACCGTCGGTCCCGTTCCTTCGATCTAAACTCACCTCGTCCGTGCCTCCAGGTCGGTGAGCGAGCCCTCGGAGACGAAGTGGGTGACGTCTGCGATGTGGACCCCGAGCTCCAGCAGCTTCCCGCCGGCGAGGCTGCGCACCGACAGCGTGTCGTCCACGTCCTCGCAGCCCTGCGGGTCGATGCTGAACACCAGGTGACTCCGCCTCAGGTCCCGCCGCTCCGCCACCTCGACCGCATCCACCGTCCACGGCCTCTCGGGCGAGTTCACCGGCATCTCCCTCAGCTGAGGAACGGACAGTCACTTATTTTTGCTTCGACACTTCTCTCACCGGGACGCTCTTTACTAAATAAAATGAGCAACATGAACGATAATAAAGAGGTGCTCACGTGCTGTATGAAGTGAAAAGGAAACAACAACAACATGCAGCTTCAAGGCTGTTCCATTAATCTGTGTGCGGAGCGTTGAAACTAAGCATTAAAGTGTCCTCGTGAGGTGAAGAACACAACGATAAACGCTCATGAACAGCAACGCTCAGGGTCTCTCAGTCTGCTCAGCGTCATCCTGCTCTGTTAAAAAGGTTCAGCATCCTGGAACAGGGATCCTCAGCATCCGTTAACACAGAATTAATTATAATTAAAGATTATTTTATTGTTTTGAATTCCTACTCACACGGGTCTAGTGCTGCCAGGAACCTGACGTTTGTATTTTACTAGAATTTACAGACATTATTCCTCGGATATGAAGTCAACATCCGCTTGTACTAATTATATTTACATTTAATATTATAAATATTACAACATGATAAAGGCCTATTTATGTTGACACAATATGAACAAAGACCCCTCGCTCTGGTGCGAATGGGTCTCTATGCTGTGTGGTAAAATGAGCTCCTAAACTTACAACTAAAATGTTGCAAATTTTACTTTAGAATTATAAAAACAAAAGCAGCTTCATGATCCTCCAAGAAGACAGAAAAAAAGAGCACAAACCCAAATAAAGGACCTCAAATCACAGAGATGCAGATTCACGATGTGCTCCGTAGTTTGCGGATTTGACAAATGACGGTTTGACAAATGACGGACGCGTCAGATTCACGTGAGATTAAGAGCACAGACGACCTCCGTCTCACCTGTGCGTCGGAGAAGGGGGGCACGTGGATGCAGTTCTCTATGAGGATGGTCTGGACCTCCGTCTCCAGCTCTCCAGCCCGACCCAGTACGCGCACGCTGTGGCCGTTGGGATAGAGCGACGTGCTTTCCCAGGAATCAATGCACACCACCACTCTGTGGTCCTGGGGGGGGGGATAATAAAGAGATCCGATCTTATATCAGCCGAACTAGTTTCCTAATCTGAGTGAATAACACATCGAGGAACCAGACCTGCAGAGCGTCGGCCTGCTGGGTGCTGATGCGGATCTTGGGGATGCGGTGGTCCCAGGGGACGACCAGGATGCGCTGGGAGTTCCTGCTCTGGGGCTGAGGTCCTTCTCTGGGGGGGAAAGTGACCACGTAGTCCCTCCAGTTCCTCTGCAGGATCCCCACGACGCGGCCTGAGGGTTTTGGTGCAGAAAGATAGAATTGATTGTGTTTTAGTGTCAAAATTCTACTTTTTTCCAGGTGTTTGCCTTAAAATCATCTTGGTATATGATTATGCTCTCAACAGTATTAAAGGTCCTCTTATAGTCACTCAGAGGTTTCAATGGTTTCCATGCAGTGAATAGAAGTGGACCTTTGAATTGGATGATTCTCTTACTGTTTGGTTAACTCACCTGTCGGCATGGGTTTCCTGTCGCCGTCCTCTCCGCTCTTCTCCTCGCCCTGACCCTCAGTCAGAGCCGTGTCCTTCCCTCTCCACTCGCTCTTCGGCAGCAGCTCCACCGCGACCACGTCGCCGTGCACGGCCCGGTTGCGGTTCTTAGCGCTGCACACCAGCACGCCCCAACTCAGATCTGCAGAGAGAGAAGAAGAGAGTCAACGCCAGCGGATATCAAAGAGAGACGTGTGAGCTGAGTTCTGCTGCTGCAGCTCTGCACCTGAGTTGTTGTTGGACAAACCCTCCGCCGTGATCGAGGCTTCGCTGTGCGCCCGGTGCTTGCTGATATTCAGAGTGCCCTGAAGAAAAGGAAAGAAAGATGAGATTCATCTTGTGTGAGGAACATTAATTATCAAGTTTGATTCACCAGATTGTCCTCGATCAGCTCCGGTGCTCTAGAGCTGATAACTCTTTCCTTTACTGCCTCCTCGACCCCTAAAATGTATTTCTACCAAATCAAGTTTCATGTTTCTCTTTCACATTGGTGGCTACCAGGCAGTAACATCTCTTCTACCGAGTGAAGCCAAAGCTTCATGTGTTAAAGCTGCATTCCCTCTAGTGTCCACCAGGGGGCGACTCCTCTG